TTTAAAAATATCCTACAGTTCTCTTGCTTGCATCTGACACAGAAGTTTAGTATTTAGTGGCTTCATACAAATAGAAACTGGAGCCAGATTACTTTTATGCAACGGTGGAAACTAGGATTCCCTGTGCTTTTTTTAAATTAAAAGCATTCATAATTATTTCTCAGAAGAGCTGGTCATTAATTAAGGTTTCTGAAGAGCTCAGGGAGTTTCATAAGGAAATACACTAAGTCTCACAAGCCCAGTAAGATAGAAACCTAGATTTGAATAAATTAGGAGAAATGTTAATTAAAGATGATTCTTGGTAATTTCAAATATTTAGTCAATTCTGACCAATGCAGAAAGTAAAAGGAAAGAGAATCAGATTCACCAATTAGATATTAATACAACTGAGCCTGGCCAGGTGGAGAGGTATGCAAGCTGAGTGAAATAGAACTCTCCAGTCATTACTGGGAACTGCTAATGTGATGACTAAAAACATCACCACCACCAATAAAGTGAAGTCTTATTCGTTAAAAAAAAAAAAATTGTTTGAGTAAAGAGCTTAATTGGAATTTTCTTTTTATCTTTTCATTGAATGATTCTAGATGTTTCGTTTTGATCAGAGAAGTTAGTCAGAAAGTCTCCCAAATAAATATTTAATGCTTCTGGAAATAGGCCTGGACAATAGGCCCTTGAAAGAAAATAGCACTTTATTTTCACGTAGTTATAAAGTCATATTTTCTCACCATAGAAAACTTATAAAATACAGAAAATTACTGTTTGCTTTTATAAGTCATTCTTAATCATACCACTAAGAGATGGTTACTGTTAACATTTTTTTTTTTCCCTTCCAAGAATGCTCTGTAAGGCTATGAACTGTCTGGATTTTTAGTTCATCACAGGATCCCTACCACCTAGCACAGTGCCCGGCACAGTCAGCACCTAACTAATATTTATTAAATGAATGAATATATTAATATTTCCTTCTAGTCTTTTATGTATATGTTTGCTTGTTTGTTAACAAAATGGGGTCTATACTGTACATGACTATATTCTAGCTTTTTCATTTTCCATTACCTCCTGAGGCTTTTCTCATGATATCAAATATCTTTCTAATGTAAAATGTGATTTTTCATAAGGCATAATGTTCCATCCAATATCATGCTTCATTTACTATGCAGAAGAAATCATATAGTATGTACTATTTAGTGTCTTGCTTCTTTTGGACACCATAATGTTTTTGAGATTTATCCACACTGTTGCATGTATCAGTAATTACTTTTCTCTTATTAACTGAGCAGTATTCCATTGTTTGGGTAATTACTGCTGTTGGGTAAAGTACCTAGAGGTGGAATTACCGGGTCATAGAGTAGGTGTATATTTAACATTATAAGAAACTTCCATACTGTTTTCCAAAGTAATGGTAGCATTTTACTCCCCCACCGGCTGTGTAGAGTTCCAGTTGCTTCCATTCTTGTCAACACTTGGTATTGAGAGCCTTTAATTTTAGCTATTCTACTAAGCTAGTGCAGTGGAATCTCAATATGGTTTATTTTGCATTTTCCTGATGACTGAGAATGTTTTCATTGGTCATACATATATCTTCTTTGATTGATATGACAAAATCTATTTCCAGAGAAGTTGTGCTAATGTAGAATTATACCAACAGTGTCACCTTTAACAAATGTTTTTTGGTTTGCTATGTGAAAAACGGCATCTTTTTAGTTTGCATTTTTATTACTTCTGAAGTTGAACATTTAATATTTAGTGCCTTATAATTTATTCTTTTATGAATTCCTTGTTCATGGCCTTTGCCCATACTTGTATTGTAGAGCTCTTCTTTTGAATAGTGAAAGTTCTTTACCCTGACATATGAGATGCAAATATTTTCCCAATTTGTGCCTTTTAATTTTGTGTTTATCTTTTTCAAGTAGTTAAACATAGCATTCTTTTCATTGCTTTTGATCTTAGAAAGTCTTTACCTGAATTCACTAAGTTGGTTTTTTTTATCTGATAAATGCACATAGGGCAGGAGTGGGTGTCAGCATCTATTGGTATCTATTAGCTCTAGAATTACCATGATTATTCATTCAAGTAGGATAACTTCATTTTCTTCTAGTTTTTTTTTTTTTTTTACGTGTAACTCTTTAAACCGAGATCACCTTATTTTGATGTTGTGGAGTGGCTCCAACTTGAGATCCAAATAGTTGGCTAATTTTTCCATTATTGTTTTTGAATAATCCATCTCTTCACATTGATTTGCAATATTTTCTTAAACTTTTTATCTTTAGCTATCCTGTTTGTGTTCTTCCAGATGAATTTTAGCACCCACTATGCTGCAGGGATCAATTTATTTTTTGACCTTTAGAGATTTGCTGTTTAATAGAGATGTGGAAGTCTGATTACTTCTTAAATGAGAAACTTCTTCAGGATAGCTGATTGATTCTCTCTTGGGTGGAAGACTGAAATCAAGACCCCAAAAAACAGAACCAAAATTCTATTCAGCTCCTAAAGTGCTCCTGCCTTGCTGGAGTTGCTATGAAGGCCGTAGGTCAAAACTCTAAGGCATAACTCAGGGTCTCACTCCCGGGTATATCCCCAGATCTTCTCCCAACACATAAATTTATGTTAATGCAGACTTAAGCTTAACTCCTACAATCTTTTAGCTAGGAGCTGTCCAAAAGAATTTTCTGCTGTGATAGAAATGTCCTATTTTACCATGTCCAACAAGATAGCCACTAGCCACATGTAATTACTGAGCACTCGAAATGTGGCTAGTGTACTTGAGGTACTGAATATTTAAATTTTTAATTTTATTTAAATGTCCATAGCCACATATGACTTCTTATTGGCCACCACAAGGACTGCATGTATTTCCTTGGATCACTGTTTTGTTTTGTTTTGTTTTTCAATTACAGTTGCCATTCAATATTAGTTTCAGGTGTACAGCACAGTGGTTAGACAGTGGTTGTACATAACTTACGAAGTGATCTCCCCCAATAAATCTAGTACCCACCTGGCACTGTACAGTTATTACAATGTTATCGACTGCATTCCCTATGCTGTACTTTATAGCCCTGTGACTAATTTGTAAATTTGTACTTCTTAATCCCTTCACCTTTTCATCCCACTCCCCAATCCTCCTCATATCTGGGAACTAGTTTCAATGTACCTATGAGTCTGTTTCTGTTTTGTTTAGAATCCACATATAAGTGAAATCATATGGTATTTGTCTTTCTCTGACATTTCTTTTAACATAATACCCTCTAGGTCTGTCCATGTTGTTGCAAATGATTAAGACTTCATTCTTTTTTATGGCCAAGTAACATTCCTTTACATGTATACCCGTACAGCATCTTATCCAATTGTTTATTGATGGACACTTACGTTGCTTCCATATCTTGTTTATTGTAAATAATGTTGCAATGAACATAGGAATGTATATATCTTTTCAAATTAGTGTTTTGGTTTTCTTTGGATAAATACCCCGAAGTGGAATTGCTGGATCATAAGGTAGTTCTATTGTTAATTTTTTGAGGAACTGCCATATTGTTTTCCCTAGTGGCTGTACCTCTTTCAATATCCTATTGTCATTGCTAAAACCAAAACGCGGTTGACTTTGCCAGGCACTATACTCCAGTAAGGGAGGACAGTTGTAATAAGACAGTTTCTATTCTAGGCTTACGATTTAAGAAAAGGTCAGTTTTTAACCTAGAGATGGGCCAGATTAAGACTCTCTATAGAGTGACTTGCCCCTGTTTCCCACGGTAAGCATGAGCAGGGGAGGCAGATACTGTGCCAGGGTGTCAAACGGGAAGTGGTTGCTTTTAGCTGAGTAGGTGACACAGAGCTTATGAGGTCAGTTCCTTTCAGAGGTCTGCCCTGGGGCTCCCTGGAGAAGCTGACCTCTCCTTTCCCTTGGAAGTGGAGAGTAGGCCACAGAGCCAAGGCAAGGGTCATGCCTATCCATTGGAAAACTGAGCTCCCCAGCCCCTCAACTACTGGATTATAACTAGAATGGATGCGACCGTCCTTCTTACTATACTTTTTTTTTTTTAATCTTAAAAACTAGGTCTGTATTTCTGGTTAGGTTCCAGAGTGGCAGAACTCAGGAGTTAATAGTATATTCAACCTGGTCCCTACCTCAGCTTGCCTCCCTCCCTCCTAGAGATAACATTGTACAAAACTATATTTACAGAAAAACCAGTTAAAAATTAAGGGTGTGTACAAAAGACATGAGAGCCTGAACTATCAATACAGGGAAAGCTTCAGGGACCAGGGAGCATTGTATTCCACCGGAACCTTGGGCAATGTGTTATGTACCAGGCAGGGACAGGCCCTCAACAAATGTGAAAACTTAAATCAGAGGTTTAAATGGGTTTGGTGAAGAGGCAGAAGGACGCAGAGTCAAATCGATAACGACTCCTAGCGACAGTGAGCGGAAGACCCAGAGGAAAGGGCAGGAGGCCTAGGGTGGGGAAGGTGTGAGAGGACAAGGACTCCCCGCAAGGTGACTCCAGGGTGACAGGAGGCTCGCGGCTCCACGGAGCAGCTGCTGGGTCGCTCCGGCCGGGTCAAGATGGCCGCTGCCCGGCTGGGCCTTTCCGTGCGGGACTTCGGGGCCGGGGTTAGGCGCTCCAGGCCCGGGTAGCGGCAGGCAGCAGAGAAGTCAGTCGCAGGGAGGGCAGGCTGCGGAGAAGAAACACCGGCTGTCGGAAGC